GCTCAAGCTAGTCTCCCAACATCTTCATAATTTTCTTATATTCCTTTTGCTCTTGACAAACAACCACCAGATCGTCCACGTAAATGAGATAGAATGCTGATTTTCCACCTTGACTTCGAATATATAAACACAGATCCGATTCGGCTTGCTTGAATCCCATCTTCTTCAGTACACCATCAGTCTTGATATTCCAAATTCGAGCCGACTGCTTCAAGCCATATATGGATTTCTTGAGTAAGCACACAGCAATATCTTCTGCAGGTTGAACGCCAGGAGGTAATCACATATATATAATTTCATCCAGGCCCCCATGAAGATAAGCGGTTTTAACGTCTACATGTTTCACCAGCATCCTATCCCTAGCAACAACAGTCACTAGAATACGAAAAGTCTGCTGCTTGGTAACTGGAGCATACACCTAGCCAAAGTTACTGCCGTATATACCTGTGTGAAACCTTGAGCAACAAGACGTGCCTTGAATCTGACAAAGTTGCCCTTCTCACCCGTCTTCTTTCTGAAAATCCACCGGCATCCTATAGGTTTCTTTCCAGGAGTAAGGTAGTTTGCTGCCAGGTATAATTCTAGATAGAGCTAGAATGAGGGCGAAACAGTTTTTGTAAACAATAACTTCTCTCGATGATAACTTTCTAGAAATCACCGAGAGAAGTAATTGTTTACAAAAGCTGTTACGCCCTAATGCTAGCTCTATGTATAATTGTTCATCAGAGACTGCAACTCCTCCTCAATGTCAATCTTCCACTGATCCCGTTGTGGACCAGTAATTGCTTCAGAAATTGTTTGCGGTTCGTCACCATCCTGTTGTACAAGTGCAATCACCATGATGACCTTCGAACTACTTGCTGATCTTCATTGCTTTCGTCATTTTCAGAAGCTGTAGCGCCTTCATACTCACTTCCTGACGGTTTCAAGATATATTCAATGGTCTCATTTTCATTTTCCGGTGTTTCACATTTTTCCTCATTATGTGCTATAGTATCTTGGCTCAAAGGGTACTCCACCATGCCATCTTCTTGCTGATCAATTTCATGCTGAACCTCACGTAACGTCTGATAACCACTTTTTTGGTCTTAAGGCTCACGAAACTATATCCTTTATGCTGCGACCAATATCCCACAAACGTCAGCTTTTCTGTCTTCTCTTCGAACTTGCCACGTTTCTCCTTGGGAATGAACATATAGGCTTGAGTTCCAAACACGTGCAAATTTGTGGCATTAGGCCTAGTTCCCTTCCAGATTTCGAACGGCAACTTCTCAATTGCTTGGCTTGGCAGAATGTTGTGGATATAGTTTTCCGTGTTGATAGCTTCAGCCCAATACCGCTTGTGCATCCCAGCATATTCTGAGGCCCCATCACTGCAGGAGATTGAAGCAGCTATCCGAAGCATGAAATCCAACAAAGGCTCCAGGGGTCGATCGCATATCAGCGGAGATGCTCAAAGCTGACCCCATGCTATCCGCACACATGTTGCATCAACTATTCTATAATATCTGGGACACCGCAACTTTTCCGGCCGACTGGATGCAGGGCATCTTTGTGAAGGTCCCAAAGAAGGGGGATCTGACTGTGTGCGACAATTGGCGAGGCATCATGTTACTGTGTATTGTTCTCAAAGTTCTGTTCAAAGTTATCCTGAATCGGATACAGGAGAAGATCGACGCGACTCTCCGACGGCAGCAGGCAGGATTCCGTGCCCGAAGATCTTGTGTGGACCATATTGTCACGCTTGAATGAATTCCAAGAGTCCCTTTATTAGGAATTCATTGACTACGAAAAAGCTTTCGACCGCCTCAATCACGAGAATCTGTGGGGCGCCCTGAGACGCAAGGGAGTCCCGGATAAAATCGTCAACCTCATCGAAGCGCAGTATGAGGCTTTCACGTGCAGAGTTCTGCATAACGGAGCCTTGTCCGACCTTATCCGGGTAGTCGCTGGTGTGAGACAAGGATGTATACTATCACCGCTACTGTTTCTCATCGTAATCCATAATTCGAGAGCGAAAGTGGAGGTGGGTCGGCCACACACTTCCACGGGGCGGAAACGAAATGTGCAAGCAAGCGCTGGATTGGAATCCGGCAGGACATCGCAGCAGAGGCAGACCCAGGGGCTCAAGGCGGCGGAGCCTCAATAAGGAAATTAAGCAAGTCGATAGGAATCTGACCTGGGTCCATGTCAAGGCAAAAGTGAGCAGCCGCCCAGGATGGAAGTCTTTCACGTTGGCCCTTTGCACCGCTGGTGGTGCACAGGACCCTTAACTAACTAATCCCAGCATACACCGCACCATTTCGATAAGAGATCTGTTCTCTCGTTATGTTGTGGACTATATGCTGTTGTAAACTGCTTTTGTATTCCGTTCTCCTTACAGAAACGCTTCAGCTCCTTGCAGCCATATTCTCCACTTTGATCCGATCGGATGATTTTTAGAGCTCTTCCAATGGACGTCTTCATTAATTGAACGAAATTTTCGATACAGTCTACGTTTTCCGATTTCCTCTGCAACTGTTTGCATTGGTCCACATAGACCTGTATGGATGAAATCCAACACATTTTCCGATTGCTTCTTCGTTTTCTTAGGAAAAGGTACCCTGGTCATTTCACCTTGAATACAACATTCACACTGCACACGAATTCCACAGTCATGTATCCAAGTGCTAGGTGCAAATGCTAGGTCTTTTCACTATAGTTCGTGAATAGCACCAGGGTCTCGATGTCCAAGTTTGTGATGCCACTCGTGCAAACACTGCGAGTTATGATGCTCTTCCATAACAGCTTGAACATTCCCGGTGATTTTCAGATGGTAAAGTCTATTCACCAACGGTGCAACAGCAATTGCTTTGCCACGAGTGTTTATGGTACATCCAGCATCATCGAAAATCACCTTTCCTCCTGATTTGCAGATCTAGCCAATGGAAGTGAGATTTGCCGCCAATAAACAGAACTTTCGTCAAAATCATTTGGTTCAAAGTATCTTCTGGTCCAAAACAACAAATATGACACGATCCAATTACAGGCAGTTTCTTGCCGTCAGACAGTACTACACATGTCGGTGCTCCATCTGGTTTCTCCAGCTCTTGAAATTGGTCACGATTGGCGCTCATGTGTGATCTGGCACCAGAGTCAATAGTATAACTTGATGATGCTGCGAACAGATACGCTTCCGAGCTCTCTGCTATAGGTTCCACTCTTCCGCATTGTTCTGTATTGTTTCCGATCTGCTATCTTCATTCGCTACTTGCTTCTGGTATAGTTCTTGTGTCCCGGTTTCTTGCAATGATGGCATACGATGGTCTTGTTCTACTTCTCATTGATCTTCAATGCATATTCCGGTCTTTTCGAACGTTCTCGATTGGAAACTTCGTCGATAATTATATCGGGTAAGTTTTTCATCTTCCCAGCACTGCAGAGCCGTCGTAAGCGTTTTGAATGATGCCGGAAGACTTCTTAGTATACGAATCACTTGAAGGCGTCGATTGAGTTCTACATCGGACAGAGTAAGCTTATCGAACATATCCTCCATCTTGAATAGATATTCCCCAACTTCAACATTATTATCGATCACAGGGGTGAGCAGACTGAACAATTCGATGGTCGCTTTTGCCCACTAGTCACAATCCGTCCTGCTTTGTACTTCCGCTTCATTTCCTGCTTGTGCTTCTGTAGCTAAACGTACTGCCGGCGGAACCCCTGGGTCAATGTAACGCCAGACCTATTCCCTCACAAGTAGCTGTTGAACTCCTAACTTCCACATGGAATAATTCCGGTTGTTCAGTCTCCATAAGTACATTTTTAAATATATAGGGGAAATGCAGGTAATGTCGGCCTAAGTGTCCCTTATTTGGGCCCATACATAAATTCAGCAATCGACTAAATTTTCAATAGCAACCAAAAATATCCATAAGTAACGTCCCAATAACGCGTTCATCTAGATAAAATTGATAAATAGTAGATTTTTTGCGATGGGCCCAATCTTAGATCTATAGGCCAACATTAGAGACCAAACTCCCCCGTTGGAGAGGGATGGTGAGGGGTATTCCACCCGCCACCACTGGCAAAAATAGATGATCGCCGACTCGCTCAAGTATCGACGATGTGTTTGAAACAGTTCTATCGATTTTTACCGCACTCAAGTTGTTATCTAAAGGAAGGCATCCAGTCGTTGGTTTAGAAATTGCAGTACATACCGTAGTAGAGGTAACAGAAGTTGCAATTTCCAAACCATCTATCGTATAAAAATTACCACTTTAGTCTGTTATTTGAAATTAGCATCTTCAACTATGTAAATCGTTGACTTCACGCAGAAGTAATGCTAAACATATAGTCTAAATTTGCAGGTTTTATGTGTCAAACACAAACTTTGCAATCTTTTCTTGTTACTAACATAACACATATAAAATATCATCATAATATCTCATTATTCTTTAATTTCATGAAACATTATTTAGCCAATATGAATGGAAGGCACCCTGGCTAATTATCCATGAAAAATATGCAATCTGAAGGGCTGAAATCTCCACCATAATTTTTTTTAAGAATTATCATTATCATATCATCACAAGTCTCAAGGTTTACGAATTTTAAATATATTTAAATCTGTAAATTTTAAAAATTCTCCGCAGGAAACAACAAGTAGTAGATGTTATAATGATAATTAATCCTTGTTTGTTACAATTAGATTTAGTTGTGTATGTGTTTGATACGTAAAACCTTTTATTATAACATCGGATGATTTCATAATCCCGAAAAATAATACGTGCATAGCAAGTGAATGGAAACAACCTTGAGTAGTATCAGCCACGTGCTTTCACAAAAACTTCAAAATTTTGACTTGTAAAATTATACACAATATTTTGACGCTACAAAGAAGCACCTTGAAGTCAACCGCTTATTATAAAACATCAAAGATCATCTCATAATTCGCAACAGTAAGCTTTTCAAGCTATTCGTTAAATCTATTGCATTCAGATTTTGGCAGTTTTACTTACTGTTGTAGTATCTACCGGTACATCTTCGCTGCCATCGTCTCCGCGAAATGCCTTCTGCTGCGCCTCCTTTTCCAACTCTTTTTCATAGTAAACTTTGTTTCCGACTGCCCTCTCGTGATCCGGCACAAGTTCCAGCAACTCGTTAGTCATAACCAGAGCCGTTTGAACATTTCCTTTAATATGTTAATGAGAATTTAAATAAAGCTTGTCTATGAAAATCGTAGCAAAACTTGTGAGGTTGATGAGAGTTATAAAAACAAAAAAGCATCTTCAGAAAGAGCAACACTTGCGCAAATCTCGGCAACATATACTCATTCCATTTCGCATCGTACTTTTGTACCATGCATCTTTCTGCACCCAAATGGCCCCGAAGGAGTAGCCTCACGATTCACTGGTTGCCTTTCGAATGTGCTGCACTTTTATAGGCCCAGCCTTACCGCGACGCTACCCACCTTTGGCACATGCCTTTTGCCTTCTATTCTGTTGCATCAGTGGATGAATAAATTGATCATCAACAAGAAAAAGAAGACAATCACGCTCGATCGGTTGTTCGATTTAGCAACCAGTGAGTCAAAATGTTTGATGATGCTTTGTTGTTATTATTACGAAATATACTTCTACGAACCTTGCTTAAACGTTGAGAATGCCAGATATTCCAGCACATCAGCTTTCGTTGTGGTTCGGTTGACTTCATGCGAAAGACGATCCATTGCCTCTCGCATCCACAGGACCGTGTGGTAATAGTCACCATTTAAGTAGGTCTGTCGTCCCAGTTCGAAGCAATCCCCGGCTGTCATTTCAGTACTGTACTGAATTCCATTCAGCTCCCCGCGAGCAACGGAGGCTGTGTCGAGTTTGTATGTGTCCTGTAATCGCATCAATGCCACTGCAGCCCCATTCAGATCCTCGTCCGACGGGAATTTGAGTACGTCCCTGTAGTTGGTAACGTTCACCAGAAATTCCGATCCAACGTCATAGGACATAAGGTTCTCAATTTCACGCCAATCGGTCGTGAGCCGTTTGGTCAACAGGAAAGCGTTGACCGGATTTGATAGATACACACCAGCATCTTTGGCCGCTTCTGAGTGCTCTCGCTGGTATTCGGCACTTTTCCTAGAATATAAGAACAATCAATCGATTGAAACTTCGTTGTAGACATCTCCGTAGTAAGACAAACCTCCTAAGCTGGTTGAGTTTATTCTCTTGCACCCGGATGTAATTATCTAAATTTGCTATCAGAACAGATTCAGTCTCCAACAATTCTTCCATATCAGCCAGTGCAGTGAAAAGCTCCGTGCTGACTGTGTGGAATGTGAGTAATAACAGAACTAGCGCTAGCAATGACGACATGGTTTGAGATTGACTGAGATTCATTGTTTGTTTTGTGTGGTATCTGCAAAAAGAAGAAGGAAAGGCTTGTTGTTATTTACAAGTTAAAAACAAATGTCATTTATTAGTTAATTGAGTTTATATGTTGTTTAATTAGTTCCAGTAATCATTTCCAACATGGGAAAGCATGTCTCCAAACGATTTTTAAAAATAAGCCCCACCCTAATGCTACAGTCCATTATAAGAAAAGTCATTAGTTTTCTTGTAAGAATAAATGCATGTAAGAAATTGACCGTTACACTTTATGTTGATGCCTTTTGCCTTGCGTTTATCCCCTCCCCATGGACATGGAGATTGACGGTACTGAAGCAAAGGGTTATGTTTAATTTCTTTATATTTGCAACGATGATGATTTCCTATAGTGACACATATCACCTTCTTAATGCTTCAGTATGCCTCAAACGATTAATTCTTGGTTGTTAAAAGAACTTCCTTGATGACATCGGTTGCTTCATGCAGACTGAACAATTCTGATTATAGTATCAGATTTGTTCTGTATACAGAGGAACTGGGAGGGCTTATTAGAAACTTCTCGCCAATGAAGTAATGATCTGCTAGTAGATTTTGCATATAATTTTATTTATATTTTATTTTTGTTACAATCAATTAGCATTAGCATACGGTACAAGTGATTTAATATTACTTGCTCGTTTTTTTTTTTTTTTGTTATCTGAAAATTTTCCCAGTTTGGTTAGAAGTTTCGAAGCTAACGCATGTCCACAGGAATAGAAAGATAGGTAGAAAAAGTGTATCATGAAGAATGGTTGCATGCAGGGTTGCTTCCACTCACTTGGTATAGATGAGTGATTTTCGGAGTTTTGAATTCGTTAGATGTTCTAATGGAGATTTGTGTTGTTGGATGCGGGAGGAGATTGGAGGGCGGGTGTTTGACGCATAGAGCCTGTCAATTTCGCTTTCAGAGTGTCGCAGTCAGCGGTTTTATGATTTGTGAGCGCTCGCGATTCGTAGAATCGTTGATTGTGACTGCAAGTGGATTTGGCAGGTTTTGTGTGTCGGACGCTTGCTTTTTGGCCTCTTAAGAATTCTTGTGTCTAACATGTGCAGAGTATCATTATATAGCGTCTAATGGTTTTGAGATTTCTGGTTGCGTGAAATATATTTTGAAGAATATATTTTTGAGATTTTAGTATTCACGTTTTGTTTGTAGTTTATGTTTTATTTCTTTTGTGTTATTATCGTAAATAATAGTTATTCAATAATAGATTGTGCATCCATATATTCGTACTTTGACGCGAAGCGCTGTGGATTATGAGATGCTCGATGGTAGAGGGATCGATTTTGCAATTTTTCGGAGCAATTCAAAAATTTAAGATTTTTGGCTTCACTTTTCACACGAAACGTAATAACGTTGAAAAGATATTTGTTTTGACAGTAAAATTCTCGTGAGCTTGTCAATTGTGAGTTGTGCCAGTTTTTGATTTATTAAGCATGTAAACAATGATGCGTACGTAAAAGATAATTGATAATGCCGATGGATCATAAAAAAAGTGAAAGTGGCTTTAATTTGCATGTTAAGAAATTTAATTTTTGAAGATAAACGGATATTTTTCGACATTGTTACGTAATAGCACCCAAATATGTGGGTTGTTGCAAGGAAAATGAAAATCCAACGTTTTCTTCAAAATGTTTCGTATGTTCTGAACTCAACAACTTTTAGCAAGAACAGGAAAATGAGGGAGCATTATTATCACTTCCCGCTTATAAATGCCCAACAGAGATGATCAGTGAGAGAATGATTTTACTACTCTCTCCTTGTCATTTAATCTAACTGTCATGGATGGCTTTTATGAAGACGGTCTAGTGAGGTAGAGGTGTTTCCAAGTGATATGCTAGTTGACCGTCATTTCTGAGACGTGACGGTTATGCGAGGATGACCGTCAAGGTACAATAACCGTTATGATAATGCACAGCGCTGGTTGCATCGTCAACTTGAGGTTAATCCTAACCGAATACCCTACCCAACCCTCCAACTCCGTAGCACTTATGAGGGTGTCGCTAAGTCGGTGGCCTCTCGTTAAGTAAGTACTACATCAACATTTCCTTCCCTATCCCTAGTTATGGTAAAGATGGGCGTGGACGGGAATAGCGACAGTCATGCTTCTGTTACTCTTGTTTAGATAGGAACCAATGTTTACTCCCCAGCATTATTCCTGAAAGTAGTCTGAAAAAGTGTGTATTGCCGTTCATCCGCAAGCATAGGGGCAAAGTCATCTTATGGCCCGATTTGGCCAGCTGCCACTACTCCAAGGTGGTTCTGGAGTGGTATGCTGCCAACAAGATCGATTTTGTCCCCAAGCTAATGAATCCTTCAAATTGCCCTGAATTTCGACCAATCTAAAAATATTGGGTAATTTCAAAGCAGCGCCTTCGAATCAATTCGCTGACGATTATTTCAAACAGTTTCGACGCAGCTGATAAGCATAAATGACTACTTCGAAACCTCAGGGAATATTCCATCATCCAGTGACCGGGTGAACGTGGCAGAGAGTAGTTCAGCTAAATCAGCTGCACAGCGGAAGAACAAAACCGATGAGATACTGTCGGGACTGAAAATAGCGAACTTTTCAACTTTTTAGAAGCAGAGATGACCATTCCAGGAGTAACCATGAACGTCGTCAGATCAATAAAGTCCAAGGGAACGTCTAAGGATGCAGATTCAGACTGCAGACGGCTTGAGAGGTAGGCTTTTGGTCAAATACAGAAGCGAAAAAATGGCAAAGAGTTCGCAACTTTCAGCTTTAACTCCAAAAAATTGAACTCACTTGGTAAGAATCTCACTTGGTACAAAGAATTTGAAGTTTATATTGAAATTTATATGGGAAAACCAAACTTTTTGCTCAAAGTCTTCTAGCCTTGTTCCTCATTGCTTTGTTAAAAATTTCTATAGCTATAATTTTGGGAAATGTTCTCATCTACAACTTTGCGCAAAATCGATTTTCAGCCAAACATCAATTTAAATAGTTATTAGTTATTTAATAGATTGATAATCTTATGACATGATCAAGCACGTGTTTGGTGGGCAACACTGTATTCTGCAATGCGACATAGTAGCCATGCTTTTTGCGCTCTATTCAATGCCCCAGAAACACCAATGTTGTCTTCTGAACAATTGATTGAACATGATCATTAGACACCAGTTACTTGAATCATTAATATCTTTTGTTGCTTACATTTCATCGAAAAGTGGTCTTGAGCAGAATTGCAGCTGGTAAAATTCACAACCAGTCAATTTTTTTAAAAACAGAGTGAAATGGTGAATTTTTAGATCTATATGACCAAAAAAATGGTTTTCCCATAGTAATTTCCATATAAACATCAAATCAGTTTCTTACTAAACGAGTTCAAATTTTGGGAGGCTAGTCAGGATTTAATTTGGAACCGTTTGAGCACTGTGGAGCGAAAATTTCAAATTTTGCATCAGTCTAGTGTCCAGTCCTGAAGTATGTCTTAAGGTACGTTTAGACTGTCTGAGTTGTTGGTCTGATTCGAGCGGACTGCTCGATAATTTTGTCGGATGCAATGTTCGAATGCGTTTACACTTTTTCGACATGATGATTAGATTTGACGTTTGATTTGTCGAACGTAATAGGTTTGTGATTAGTTTTCATTCAACTTATTCAGCAAAATAGCCGCAAGTGAAAAAAAAATTCTAATATTTCAAGGATTTGATTTGTGTTTTGATGACATCCAGCAGCAAAGTAAACCGATTTCACTATTCAATGTGTATAATTTGACTGATTTTTATTTTCCAGTGTGTTTGATCGTCAACAAAACAGTGTTTATATAAGACGAAGTATATATTATATAAGAGTAAGCATACCAGACAGCAGGTCTGAGCAGAGAACACAGAAAAGTCCAAGAATCTACAGTGAAATGTGAAGAATTTTACAGAAGTTTGGAGATCTACTGAAAAATTATTGCACGTCAGAAAAAATCCTAGATTTTCAGATCAAAGCTGCAGAACTTTGGAAAAATCACAAGAATGGTCATAGATCCTCAGATAAATTTTTAGATCTTCAAGAAAGAGTGCAGCTTTTCTAATGCATTTTTAAAATGTCATAAATTTTAATGTATCTTCAGTGAAATTTGCAGAAATATTTATATGACTTCAGGGAAATTTGTAGATCTTGAGAGAAACATTTAATACTTCAAGGAAGCTCAATTATTTTCAGATAAATTTTCAGAACTTTAGGTACTTTAGAAGATCTGCAGGAACATTTTCAGATGTTCAAGGTAGCCCAAGAGCCAACAGAGGAATTTACAAAACTTCAGACTAGTTTGTACATCTACTGAGAAATGTATTGAGCCTCAAGGTGATTCGTAGAGCTTCAGACAAATTTACAGAACTTTAAAGATATTTGCAGAACTTCAGGAGAGTAGATATTTAGAGAAATATGTAGAACTGCAAGGAATTTTGCAGATCTTCAGAGACATTCAGTGATTCAGTGTAGTGAAGTACTTTAATTCCACAAACAAATCGCAGCGAAGAAAAAAAGTCCAAGATTTTACAGAACTCCATGTTGGAAGTTGGAAATAAGTAGATCTGAAGAACTTCAGAAAAGTCCGTAGAACTCTGTAGTCTGTAGAACTTCAGGAAGTTCGTACATTTTTAGAAAAAATTCTTCAGCAAAACTCACAAAACTTCTGGAAAGTTCACCGATCTTTAGAAGTATTTACACAACTCAAGAGAAATTCAAACATTTTTAGATAATTTACTTCAAGGAATTTAAAGAAATTTCAGATAAATCTGCAGAACTTCATGGAAGTCCAAGAATCCGCAAAGAAATGTACAGAACTTTAGAGAAGATTAACTGAAACAATCAGTAGAATTTTATTGAGATTCTGGGATTACAGAACTTCTGGGAAGTTCGCTGATATTTATAGATATTTGTACAACTTCTGAAAGATTAAGAGATCTTCAGAGGACTTCCTTAAATTTCCGGGAAGCTCAAAAATTTCTAGATATATTTTTTTATACTTAAG